ATTGATGCTTCATTGAATATAATTTTAATTTCCTTATAATTGGAAAGAGCTTCGTTGGTTCCTTTGGTTGGTATTATAATGTTATCGACATAGAGATTTTCCTTAACTCGAGTGCGATTTTGCTTTTACAAGTTTCCAAATGATAATTGAGTGTAGCGGACAATAAAATGGAGATGATACAATTCCAAATGGAACTCGTTGGAAACGGTAACAACTTACGTTTTCTTCGTTAACTGGACTTCGAATGTCTTTCAACCAAAGAAATCGAGTGCAGTTTCTATCTGTTGGATGCAATTCTATTTGCAAGAACGCCTTTTCTACGTCTGCTATTATTACATTTTTCATTGTACGGAAACGTAGCAAAACTCCAACCAAATCAGGGAGTGTTATTGGTCCCCGATATAAAACATCATTTAAACTTTTCATTCCTTTACAATGAGCTGATGCATCATAAACTATCCTCAGATTTGTCGTGGTTTTATTTGGTGTTATTACTTCGTGATGAGGCAGATAATGAATAATACCAACTTCATTCATTTCCGATGACACTTTCTCAATTATATTGGAATTGAGTTGTTCTTCAATAGTTTGATTGTATCGACTTAGTAATTGAGGTTTCATTTGAAGCCTCCTAATTAACGACTTTAATCTTCCAAGGCAAAGTCCGAAATTATCGCTTAGTTTGTTCTTTGAATCTTTCCAAGGCCAACAAACTTGATATCTTCCCTTGTCCCTAGTGATAGTTTGTTTAAATTGCTGCAATGCTTTTTCATCATTGTCAGAGTTTATTTTGTCTTGTATACCCATTATTTCCAGTTTCCAAAAGTGATCTAAGTCTGGAATATTGACGGCATTGACTTGAGAAATCGGACTTACTGATGTGGTTTCTGAAATACTGTCGTGTATTTCATTTATATACCCACTTCCAGCTATTATAGGTCCAACCTTTGTATGGATCAATGAAAATCCTGATTTTAAGTTCTCTGCTTGGTCAAACTGGATAAACTTGAAGAAGTGATCCGCACCTATGAGTATGTCCGGTTGTTTCCATTTGTTTTTGAAATTACTAAACTGATTTCGTTTGTCTATCATCAACAATTCCTTTTTGTTTAGATTAACTACTTGCAATTCATTCGTCAAGTGGTTAACTGTTATTACATCTAATCGGATTATTTCTTTATTTCCAATTTTTACTCCGATTTCAGTTTTAGTAGTGATACACGTTTTTGGCGTCTTATCACCAAATGAAGCAATTTTTATTTCCATCTCGTTAGTTTCTTGTAGATTCAATCGATAAGCCAAATCCTTTGATATGAACGATAATTGAGAACCAATATCGAATAGAATTAAAGCCTTTTGTTGGATTTTTGGGCGATTTGGATTGGTTACATTTATTTCCTTACATAACAGTAAGGTTCGCTTTTTCCATTGATTTCCTTTTTCGGTAATGGAGTTAGCGATTGTGACTGAACCCAACCTTTCTTTGTTGGAATCCACTGCTTGCGTGAGTTCCTTGTAGTTGTTGGGACACAGTGCTGTATTGTGTGGACTTTACAATGGAAACACAAAGTTTCCCTTTTTTACAATCACTTGTTGCATGTCCTTTTCGTAAACATTTGAAACATGCAGTGATTTCTCTCAAACGTTCCATCCGGAGTTTGAGAGTGGGATAGATGTTACATTCATTGTTCCAGTGGTCCTTATTGCAAAATACGCATGGTTTCCTTTTCCCATTTATAGAAATTTTCCTGGAACCTTTTTTGATTTGATTGTATTATCTCCCTTTGTTTGGTTGATTGTGGCGAAAGCTGACGTTTCGCCTCTAACATTATTTTTGTTTGTTTTCTTCTCCCTTGTGTCTGCTTGACTTCTAGCAACTTCTTCATTTCTTAGAACTAGTTTTGTCAGGTACTGCCGGATATCCTTAACTGACCAACTCGTCGAATCCTCTTTCAATTGGTATAATTTATCAATTATCCACGCTGGTAGTTTATTTTCAATTGTAATTTCGATGCTTGAATGCTCTAAATTTTCACCTATAGCTTCCAGTTGTCGAAATGTTCTCTCCATGGCTTCTATGGTTGCTTTCCACTCGGTCATTTTTTTGATGGTATTCAACTCGTTGTAGAGTGATTTCTTTATAAGGAAAGGTTTACCATATTCTCTTTTAGTAAACCTATTATAACATCGTAGTTTTCTGGCGCTATATCATAACCTCTTACAGATAACAAAGCATCTCCTTTAAGACATGATATCAGATAGTTTAACTTTTGAATATCTGGGATGCTTTGCTCATGGACTGCTGCCTTGAAACTACACCAAAATTGCCTCCACAATTTTGGATCCCCACTAAACGTTATTAGTGGTAATTGAGGAAGTTTTATTTCTGCTTGATTTGTGTGAATCATACTATTCTTTGGAAATGATTCTTTGACCTCTTCTTGTTTTAAATGTTGTAGTACCGAGCAATATTCATCAGTATGTATTTTAAGGGTAATAATAGTTTCTCTTGTTCTAGTGATTAAACTTAAAATACCTTGTGGATCGTCAACCATATTGGCGTATTTCGTCTCCTCTTCCTTTCTCCTCGTTGCTATTGTCAAGCTCTGAATATTATCCAGCCAATTTTGATTAGCTGTTTCGAGTAACCCAGCATAATATTCGAGATGTGCGATCTTCTCCTTGACGATTCGCAATTTAATTTCGTATTGATGCTGAAGTTCCCTCGTGATAGTGTTTGAGACGGGGAGGTCAGATCGAGTTCACTTGCTTCTTTAAGAAGTTCTAGAGTTCTCGACTTCGATAATTCGCTTCCTTTTCTTATACTGTCGGACATGTCCCGGCTCGTGGCACCAAAATTGTAGTGGAAGCAAAAAATGTTTTTGGAAACAAACCTTTATGATTTGGTTAAATTGTTATTCGGGGGGAGAAGTTTGATGTCAGGGAGATGTGTTGGATGCCAGCTAAATATTTGGGCAACAATTGAATAAACTGATTCGGAGGATTGGATGATTTTTAAAACTGATCTAATTGACAATAGTATGGTTATAAAATCTACATTGATGTTAGACAATGATCCAAACAAAGGAGAGGAGGTGCTTGCATGGGCACCAGTTGCTAATAAAGAGCTTATTAGATAACCGCATGATTATGATAGCTAACAAAGAACAATGTAGATATCCTCATGATTGTAAGGATTGCTAACAAAGAACAATGTAGATATCCTCATGATTGTAAGGATTGCTAACAAAGAACGATGTAAATTGTTTCAATATGTAGAAGCATAAATTTGGAAACAAGGAGTCCGAAGTATAAGCATTATTTGCGGAAATTACGTAGATATCTTTACTACAATTTGCAACTCATATTTTTAGATCGCGATATTAAAATCCGCGACAAATCCACCAATACCGGAATTTTCCCTGAAGCCGAGCATCTTTGTTTGCTTGGAACAAAGATTGTAATTATTGACTTCCAATTTGCATCAGTTTATCAAATCGCACTTTCTAGTCAACAAAATATCAATATTAAATTTTAATTTTAATCCGATATCAATATTATCTTTAACTAAAGCATCAACTACTCATAAAAGCAATTGATGATATAATCGATGATATGTCAGTAACACTGGTAATCATCCGTAATTCTTTCATAAATTCAATTATGAATAAGCTAGTATTTATAAGAAGAAATAAAACTATTAAGAATTAAATTTAAAAAAATAATTAAATTCAGAATTGAACAGAAAATATAGAAATATATTATAGATCAATGACAAATCCAACCAGATCAGTGCAACAAATTATCCAATAGAGTTCGACAAAATAAACTGGTTTTCATTTTTGAAATACAGTATAGTTTGAGTGGAAAAATGTCGATTGTTTGAAAAGGAATCTAATTTTTCAAATTACAATTTTTTTAATAATTAAAAATTTAAAAAGAAGTAGTGTTATCTTCTAGGTTAAGTGATGCGGAAAAAAAAGCATTCTGACTCTGTCTAATGAAGTGCAAATTCCGGTTTTGTAAATCATGATGGAAATTTGAAAAAAAATTATGGATTTACAATTTGAAAAATATCGATTGATTGTATATATCTGAAAGGATCTGACAACAACTGATCTGAAATTTTTTTAAATTCAATAATGTTTGAAAACATTGATGAAATTAAATGATTTTTTGATAATCGTCTAATAAATAATCATTAGCAACTTTTCAATAATATCACTCTCACATTCATCCATTCGTCCTTTGCGCTTGAGCTTTTTATAGTAATTCACATTTATTAAATACATTTCTTATTGCTCCATTTTGATAACTATTTCCTATCCAATATAATTTCATTAATTCTTAATTATATATAAGCAATATTAAATAAATGAGTTAATTTAGTTGAACGAAAAAGATTTCAAGAAATTACTCTTAAAATAACATTCAGTATGATAGTTTAAATATGGCAGTTGTAAATAATGTAAAATTTGTAATTATTTCCATATCATTTGCAAATGTAGAAATAACTTTGCGGTTGTGCTTGTCTGCAGCTAATTTTCATACAAATTTATTGGTAAACTTTTTCATATTCATCTTTTGATTGCTGTTAAGCAGTTGTATGTTCTAGTTTTTTACTATCATTTTATTTTACTAGTGATATTATTATTTACATTATGTATGATAAAATCTTTCAAATGCAAAATTATATTTAAACTATTTGTGCAAAGAATAATACTTCATTGTACTGCAATTTGTTAACTTTTTTGATACATTATTGCTTATTAGAAAGAGATAACATATATTGGACTTATCATAAGGCGTTACTTTATTTAATTCAATAAAATAAAGTCAACAAATTGTTAATATCAAATAAACTGATATTATAAAAAGTGGAAGATATGATTATGCTCAATTATCCATAAATGATGAATGTGCTTTAGTAAATGATTATTGACTGGTAAATGTGATTCAAATAAAATATCCAAATCATAGATTTGATGTAGTTTAGAAATATGTCAAAATTAGAAGGAAAACTGAAACTTGGCAATCATCAAGCAGAACTTATCTTACGAAACAAGCCGATTAACCTGCTTAAAGATCATGAAGTATCTTTCATTGTATTAGTTCAAAGGTCAAAGCGATATTAAATTTAATTTTATACAATTTCAATTTTGTGCATGATTTTTATTTGCAAATTGCTCACAATTGTAATTTTAGTATTCTAAATGGATTGCATCACAGGCTGAAACAGAAATGAAAACGGAAGATATTACCAAAATTAAATTTTTTCGATTAAAACTTCTTCCTGAACAATATTGCTATGCTGAATAGTTAGTGCTATTTATGCTAATAAAAAATATTTCTAAATATGTATTGCATTTTGTTTCAAAAATCAAAAGTTAAATTTGATTGAAAATATACGGTGCGGAATTAAAATTAAATATGTGTAAATTTAAATTTTTAATAAAATATAAAATAATTATGCCAAAATTACAGTTATTATCCGGAAAATGAACCATATCGCGTCTATTTTCATAAAGTATCTAATCAGTGGTATGTTTATAAAAGTTACCAACGTATCAGTGATGTAAGTTTCGTGTAACATTTGACAAGCACTGATGAATAACAAAAGAAATTAAGAATTTAATCCTGTTTATTAGTTTTGTTGGTTGGAAATATGAAAAGAAAGAAAGTCAATTAACTTAAGTCAAACGTGCATTAATTTTGCACTAATTTCAACGGCCGTACATTAATAAAGGAAATACAATTGTTTAAAATTTTGTGATAAATTATTTAATAACCTAAAATTATCAGTATGAAATAAAATTGTTAATTTTATTTAATTATCTAAAAGTTCGTATGCAAACGATGGGCGAATAAAGCAAATTACTACAAAATAATCATTGCATTAATATTAATGAAAAATTTTTGAAAAAAATGTCAAAAATTGATAATATAATATTTTCTCTTTTTTAGCTCTTTGCAATTGATAACTTCAATGCAAAAGTATATTATATGGGTGTTATTCCAAATGATATTATGAATCGTGGTGATTTTTATGAAATTAATGATTTCATTTCGTATGTAAATTATCTTCATTTTTATATTAAAATTTATATTAAAAGTTATATTAAAATTTAGAGTTAATTACATTGTGACAATATTTTATCAAATAAAATTTTATGCATTCTATTAAAAATAAAAGTTGGAAAATCTAAATTTTTACCTTTCATGTTTGTTTTTTTTTAACTAGTTATTTAAAATTTTGGTAAATTTGAAAGAATATAAAAGTGATAATAATAACTTTTTTTTAGGACAGTTTCAGTACTACATGGTGAATATAATCGTAAATTGGAACTACAACACATTACAGGTGGTGGATTTCGACCAAATTTGCGAACAATGAAAGGTCGCAAAGTGTTACCAACATTTTTGGCATCGCACGCAAGAGAACAAGTTAATTGATATTATATCCTTCTTTTTTTTGTTAAAATTAAAAAAATTATGATCTCAAATCGGAAATAAGTCAAAAAATTTTTTACCACAACAGATATGATTGATTAAGCAATGAGATAATTAAATTCAAAAAAAAAATAATTTAAAATTTAATAATAGTTTTAGAAAAATGGGCCATCTATGATAAAAATCTTAATCGATCGTCATATTGCTGCTATACGAGCTTATCAGAAGAAACGACTTCAAAATATTGAGAAAATTTTGGAGCAGAATAATATTGCTAAACAAATTAAGGCATACATTTTATGATATTTTGATTAAACTCTTACTAATTTGCATATTTCTTTAGCACTTTCATGAAAAAAAAAAAGAAGATTATAATTATTGTTTTGTATGAATAATTAAACGTACTATGTCAAAAAACTTTTGTCATTGGTCATTTTTAGACTTTTATATCAAATCATAAGCACTGGGTTCACGGTCGGAAAAAGATGAGTAATTATACTGCACTGCAGCGCAAGGTACGGAAAACAGTTCCGTTTAAACGATGCTCTGCTACAAGGTTTTTAATTTGCTTCTTTTTTTTTTTTTTAGAAATAAAAAAAAAATCCAATTTGATCGTTTCTTCAAAAATTTTTTAAGCAGCTTAGTAATCCCAAAAATACAAGGTTCTGGAAAAGAGCAAAAAAACGAAAATGTAAACCCTTTAAGGGAAATGTTATCGGATAGCATAGTGATTTCAGAGAATATATTGCATTTATTCAACAATATGTACCTAATTATGCTAATTTAAATTAAAAAATGTTCTATTACTTATGAAAAAGGAAAAAAAAAGTTTACTCTATCGAAATTTCGTTATTGTTTATATTATTTTATTATTTACAAATTATGAAATAAACGAAATTTATCATTGCTAAAATTGATACTAATAATAATTTGTGATATTAAATGATTGAAGTTCCTTCGCTAAAGTTAGATTTTAAGTATATTATTAGAATTTTCAGTATATTATCAAAAACGTTTTATTCAAAAAAATTTTATCACTGATAACAATATTTAGTAATTCTAAAAAAAATTTTGAAATAGGTTAATAGCTTTCAAAAATGTAACAGTATCGGATTTATGCAACGAACTAATTGATTATCCAATTTGGGTTGGTTTTCATTACTATTCTATGCGAGTACTTAACAAAAATGGCTTACATATTGTTTACGATGATATCAATTATGCTGTTGTGAGTTCTTTCATTATTTCATTTCCAAATATTTTTTTTTTTTACGATTATTTTGCAATTCAATAATCCTTCTGGTATTTCTTTAAAAAAGAGGCATAATAACCAATTTAAATGATTATTTAATTTAAACGTTGCAATAATTTTTCTTAGCCTTAGCGTAATAAAATAATACATATTCCACTTGTACTTCGGTTATTTTATATAATATTAATAATTCAAACTTGCATTATTATTCGACTTATGAAATCAAAATTTCGAATTATTTTCAGTTAAAATCATTAAAATGAGCAATTATTTTTGAATAAATCATCCTATTTTATTTGTAACAATTATTGTAATCTAAATTTGGCTTTAAAAAATTGCTAATTATTTTCAAAATGAAAAAAAAAACCAAAATTACAAAAAGTTTTCCAAAAGGCAATTTTTTCATTTTTTTTTAGCAAGAAGGTGACAAATTGCGACATTTACGCATTATGCCTTCCAAATATATGTATAAACCACAAGCGACAACAATTTTTGGGGAAACAAAGGTATATAGCAAAGGACAGGTACGAGTTAATTTTTTATGCTGGAATAAAAATTATTAATTTTTTAATTGATAAACATATGAACTTGAAATTAAAAGGTACAATTAATTTTATTCATTTGCGCATTTATGTTTATCCATTCTTTGATTCATTTCTTTTTCCCACTATTTTCCAGCAATTTCTTTGTTCATTTATTGAATCTTTATTAATTATATTATTTTATTAACTTAATGAATAATTTTTTTGTTTAATTTATTATTAAATTATGACATATTTAACTCTTTCATCTGTTTATTCTATTACTTAGCTATAGATACTAATTTGAGAATAATTTTCCACCTTTTCGTTCAGATTCCACTTGACCATTGGCCACTTAGTGACTATCCTCCTAGCATTGAATCAGTTTCCGGATATTCTACAGTTACAAAAATGTCAACTGCCACTACAGTGTGTATTTAATTAATTACTTTTATTAATTATGCAACTTAGTTTAATGCAATATTCATTTGCATGATTTAATATCAAATTATTAAATTCTTATGCATGTCTCATATTTAGTCAATAATCATTAATGAGTTAAAAAAAAAGGAACAACAAAAACATTCCAATATGAAATACAGTATGATTATTAATTAATATTAATTGGTAAATTTTATTTTAAGTCACCAAATTCATGGCAAAATGATTGGAAGATGCAACCACGTCATGATGAATACGATCATCGTTTAACTGAAGCGACGATACCAGACGTACGAGATACACGTGTTCGTGGTGATGAACAATTTGCTATTCGATTCAATAAAGAACTCAATAAACGAATTGATTTCGCACTTGCGTAATTTTTAGGCATAATTTTTTATAATTCAGAAATAAAACGACTCTTAGTCATATTAAGAAAAATAAAATATTTGCAATTTTAGAAATTGTTATGAATTATTTCTTTTATTTTCAAAACAATTTGCAAGAAAAACGATGTAATGCTATCAAATTGTTAATTTTTAGTGATATCGAAACGGTGTTATCAAAAACAATGCTAAATCATAAAATGGATCCACGCACAATAGCAGCATGTGACACTAATAACTTTTTTCCGGATATTCTTGATAGGCATGGTGATATGACATGGCTTAAGAAAGCTGAATCATATATCAATTCCATATTGACAAAAGATAATCCAACTGATGATGAAAAGAAAGATTTGAAAGTATTTACATTGCTGATGATTTTTTATTTCTAAAAAATTCTGTTTGATATAAAAATTTTGGAAAAAAGAAAAATCAAAAACTAGTAGAAATTAAAAAATTTCTTTAAAAAAATACATCTAACATTATAGCATGGAATTAAATGAGAAAAACTCATAGAATTAAATTTCTATCATTTCATTGCTTTTTTTAATATAAATTTTTATTATTCCTTCTTCAAAAATGTTTAGCAGATTAAATTGCTGGCTAATTAAACATGTTTTGATAATATGAAAATGTCAATTATTTTTAGTTATTTCTTTTATAATTATTCCAATATTATGAAACAAAATAAATTACAATATTAAGGTTCTATATTATGCCAAACAACGTTATGAACAAACATTATCAAAATATAACAGTTATCAACAGCTAACACAATCAACTGATAAATCTCAAGTTGGAATAATTTTCGTTTTTTCACCATTTATCATTAATTTATTATGGTTCATTTTGTTCACAGTTAATAGCAAAATTGATTTACTTTTTTTTGGCAAATAATATATTATTTGGGTGGAAAAATAAATTTAGCAAATGAAATGAAGTGATTGAATAATAAATCAGTTATTTGAATGTATAATCAAATGGTTATTTCATCTGTGGAAATTTTAATAATATTTCATAAAATTTCCATAGATTTCATGAAATTTTTGTGAAAAATGATTTGTAAATGGTGCATTTTTAAAAATGAAAACTGAAAGTTGAAAATACTTTACACAACATATCACTCTAGGTTGACAATGAAAAAACATTATCATTTGGTATGTTACAAAGTGGTCATTCAACAATAACAAATTTATATATCAATGATAGCTGGCAACAGATTATTCATTCGAATCGAATTCCATCAAATGCCTTGCAAATTTTAAAGTTATTGGTACTATAATTTTATATATGTATATATAAGTATAACATGAGTATAAGGTGTTGAATTAATTTTAATTAGTTTTAATGGTTTTAGATTATTGTAGTATTTTTCCTATTTAAATTTATTTTGCAAAAATATTTCTCGAAACTCTAAACAGAGATAATAATTGATTTTGTGACTGCCTTAAAAAGAAAAAAAAAGAAAAGTTTGGAGGGATAAATGTATTTTGAGTTTTCAGATAACTAATCGTGATGCATGGCCACTGGATTCAGATTTTTCAAATTTAGCCTTGGTTGATCGCGCCGATCATATTTCGATACCATATGTCATCGAATCCTTTCATCGTTATCACCTGGTAGGTAAGATTGCACTTTTTTTTTAAATTCTGAAATTTAAAAGAAAAAAGAAATTAACAAAAATTAAGGTTAATACCAAAGAGATTTTTATATAAGTAAGCAATAAACTTTGAAAAAGTTTATCATATTAAAAAAACAAAAAACAAATCTTATAGAAAAATAATTAAATGCCGTCATTAAAATTTTAAATTAACTTCATAAATGATTGATTACAAGGATTATTTTAATATCAGATAGATATTAATATATCAGATTAATTGCAAAGTTTTATTGCATTATTTGTATATTGAAAATTAGCATTTACAAAGCTAATTTTATTTAACACAAATTATTTCAGAAAGGCAACAAAATGAAAATTTTGGCAATAGGAACTTTGATATTTGTTATTTTACTGCTAATGCTTTTTGCATTAGCTCTTATTGTTGCACAAAACAAGGAAGATTCGGGTTACTGTCCATCAAATGTCATAGGTTTTGATCCTGAAAATCCTCATCGTATGCTTAGAAAATTATTTCTTTAAAAAAAAAAAAAAATGGAAAAATCAATAATTAAATTAGACTGAAGAATTTAATAAGCAACAAGTGTTAGTCTTTGATAAATTGTTTGCTCGAAGCATTTTTCTTTAATTAGGTAACTGTTTTATATTTTTATGATATTAATTGTTAGTTCTCGAATTTGGTAAGCAAATAAGACATGAATTGTTGAGTTATTGCAATCATTTTTAATTAGTAAACTGTTAATTCTCTAATTTTTCACTGATCTCAGGCTTTTTAGCTAAAAGGATTTTTGATGCTAGTACGACCGATAATATTGATAAATGTGTGATAAAGCTTTGTGTGGTAAAGATAATATTGACGAAAAAATTTTTAACTAACAATTACTTACTTTTTATATAATATAATAAGTAGACATTAGAACTGTTATTAAAATAAGGCGAAAATTTATGTTTTTCAGGTAAAAACATGCAAATTTTGTTTATTTCAGAAGTGAAATGGATGCAAGATTTATTAAATATAAAAACGCCAGTTAAATATGATAATTCGAGCATTTCAACTGCACATTTCTTTTTGTTACGCGATTGAAAATCTATGAAGGGTGGGATGAATGCATAAAATCAAATTCAAAAACTTAATTTTCATGTTAAATTTTTTTTTTATTATTAGCAAATAGATTTGTTTTCCAATTAATGTACAAACAAAGTTTTTCTTCAAATGAATTTGCAAAGAAACATGAGCTAAAAAGGTTGTGTAGTACAAATTACGATTTTAAAAAAAAAATAAATTATGCAGATGCTTTTAATAATACCACCGCTAAAAAAAATGCTGTCGCTAAAAAAATAGCATTTAATTTTTCTTTTTTAATCACAAAAAAAATTTTTTTATTACTAAGAAATTAGAAAATATCCTTCAAAAAATTTTGTCCCACTGTTATTCAAATTTTTGTCACCAATTTTGTACGTTGATTTAATTTTCCAGATTTGACATGAGTAAATCGGTAGTTATGAGGCACCACATTTGGTGACACTAGGACAAGAAGTTTTTTTTCTAAGTTGCATAAGTTGTTTTGTACCTTTGGCCCAGGTACAAATAGGTGGTACACGGACTTATGATGAGAGCAAAATCAGAAGTTTATTCTTCAACCGGAGGAAACTATTAAGATAAAGGGACGCCAAATCCGGTAGTATCAAAGTTCATAATTATTAATATACTATTATGCATATAATATTTTAAGCATATTCTTATCAATGCATTATTATACATATAATATTTCATTTCTCAATATCAAGCTATCAAGAGGAAAAAGAGAAAAAAACCTCACTGAAAAAGATGATCTGATGATAATAATCGTAATGGAATAATAAATTCATTTAATTGAATTATCATAATTTATAAGCATCATTTATTACGTATCAACAATTCAATATTTCTTATGCTTGCTTCATTTTTTCACTCATTTCTTCTATTTTTACTTTGTTATATTAAATTAGAATAAAAATCAAGTGTACTGAATAAGCTAAGGGTTAATATTCGCTCAAATCACTGAATGAGGAAATCAAGCCTATGTAACTATTTATCAACACATATACTTCTACTTTTTCGCGCTTCTGTCTTTTTTTCTTCTTCACAAATTTTTTTTAAATTTCGATAATTTAATAAGAATTCAATTACTACTACTATTGTAAGTACAAAAACCTGTACTGCCCGAGGTGAGGTTCGAACTCACGACCTTCAGATTATGAGACTGACGCGCTAACCAACTGCGCTACTCAGGCCACACTAAGTGTAAACCTATGAATTTTTTGTAGAATCAAATTTGAAAATGTGAAACAGTTTAAGCTTTTTTTTTTTTGAAATTTTAGCTTTCTGTTTTTATTTTTTTCCCAATTCGATTTTATTCCCATCGTTAATTTTCAATCACGCTTTCTTATGCATTGCTAGCTTAACAAATTCCTCTTTCTTGGTTTAATATATTCCACCTTTTCTGGCCATTTAGGCCTCTAATGACATTCCATCTATTGTGACAGTCAGGCCTTTAATGGCACTCCATTTTCCATCTTTTGTAATCATCCAAGCTTTTAATGGCGATTTGTTTCTTGTTGTTAATTGTTTTTTTTCTTTGTTTTTTTAACACCTAACTGATCAGTTTTGTCCTTTTTTTATTATCACTAAACTTATTATCTGTCCTCAATCTCACCAATATAAATCGGTTGGTTTCTTCCTTGTTCACCAATATGCAAATGATTTCATACTAATTGTTATTCCTATTTCTCATCTCGTTAGTATTCTGGTTGAAGAGATTTACTGTAATCATACATTAGAGTGCGCAATATTCCACTACGCTTGCGTAAATCCAGCAAAGCAAAAGCAACATTTGCAAACAGGGATGCCCGAGGTGAGGTTCGAACTCACGACCTTCAGATTATGAGACTGACGCGCTAACCAACTGCGCTACCCAGGCAACTTGCCGAATTACCTGAAACATTAGTTTTAACTATTTTTTTAAGAATTTTATTTAGCTAAATCTTTTTATTGCATAATTTTGCAATAATAATAATAATATAATAATATTGGAACAATATAATAACAATAATATCAGAACATCTGTTTTGTAGTAATATAATTTTTTGCTTACATTAACTAATATCTTTGTGCATAAATGATACTGCTATTATCACTGTTATTGTCGTTATCATTATCGTGATTATTATTATTACCATTACCACTATCATTATTATTATTGTTGTCATGGCTTTATTTCATGAAAGAAAATTTATGAAAAAAATCTACTCCACACTTGTTGCAGACGTTGACAGTTAAGGAAATCAAGGATAGGTAAGTCCAATTGCAGTAGAACAACAGATTGGATAATTCTTAATGCATTGTCTTTTCTCAATGAGACAGGCATGTTTAAGGGCTTTATCAGTGTCATGGATGCTGTGTCTCTGTATCGCTTGATTAGAGGCCAAAGTGGACCAATGACACCTTGGTAAACTAAACTAAAAGATTATTTCAAGCAATTCTTGTGCCTCTTTTTTGGGACACAAACTTATTGCGTGGTGAGCTCACCGTAGCGTAGGATCTCAGAGAGACAATCTTGAAGACGAAAGACAATCCATCTTGAAGACGTGACCGGTCCAGTATAGTTGTCCCTTAAGTAACGTGACCTCTGTACTAATAAGCTTGCTTGTTGAGGGCGATATATTGGTCATCTGGGCAGTGTAGCTAAGTAAGGTGTGTGAAATCAACAACCTAATGCAAACATTCAAGGGGTCATAAGTGGCGGCAGTGAATTTCCTTGGGTAGCAATGCCCAGTCTGTAGATTGTCTTCATCGAATCAGTCTTCGGATTTCTTTGATGTGAACCCTAGGCATTCTGTGGAGGACTGCCGGATACTATTTTTGATAATTAGCCAGAAGGTTGCAGGGAAGGAATCCATAAAGTGACCTACAAGTCCAGTTTGAAGTTTGCCTGGAAATTGTTTTTTATTGCAATAATTTCAAGATTATTGCTTTAGGCCTTTTCGTGCGTTATCTCTTTTAGGTTTGCCCTGAAAGAGACTGAGCTTGCATCACACAAGGCGGTCATCGCTGCTTATCTCGAATATGACAAACACAGGGAATGCACCTTTGACGCACTAATTGTAGTCGATCAGGTGCCACTATTTGGATAGTGAGTATGGTTACCCTAAATTCTACCCATGCACACTCGCTTTGTCTAACTCTTTAACAAAGAACCGAGGACATACCATCAACTTAGCCCACAATCACACAATTAACATGCAAGCTCCTTCCCTAAGAGAAAGATATATCTGCCCAGAAGTATTATGGTAGCATCGTACGATCAAAATGATCGATGATACTTGGTCATTTAATTCCATGGAGATTACATTATCAATTAGATTTAAACAAATGTTCAACTAAATTAAATGAAATAAGACAGTGAGTGTAGTAATTTCGTTATTAGTTATGCTTAATGAATTTTTTTCAGAATTATTAACCATACTTAATTTATTATATTTAGATTTAAATATATCATTAGCAGTTACTAATCATGCTTTAACAATTTGCCTCTTCTAATATAGCAATGCCAAATTTATAGATGGCCATTAGTGATTAATTATGTATTTTGAATTTGAATTTATTACCAAAATTTGTCCTCAGCAATTTATGACAGTCTTTACCCACACTTTTTTTTTACCATTTCTCAAAATTACAACAAATAATTTGTAATTATCATTTTTTTTAAAAAAAAAGAAAACTTTATATTGATATTATAGAAGTTTTAAGTAAAATCGATAGTGGACACTATCTCAACTTAAATAATAAGCTAATTGATAAATTGCTACTGCTAGTTAATTATTTGCATTAATTTTCGAATGAAGGCTAATCTTTTATAATTTATTTAAACTATAACTAAAAATTTACTATTTTTATGCTAATGAAATGTTATTTTTCGGATAAATCCAATGAGGAATAATTTCAGCGGAAGAGTATTCAAATAATAGCCATTACAGGCTGACAACAATTACTGACGGATTACACATGCCTCATCGATCTGCTTAATGTACATAGAATCAAAGATTAATGACCAATGGCTACTATTTGGTGTGAATCATTTTAGCAATGAGAAAATATCCCTTACTTTTCGCTGAGTCACCTCTATTTCTTTCCTACTATTATATAGTAATTACTTTTACTATTCATTTTTCTTTCTGCTTCTTCACTTTTTTTTCATTTGAAAACATCACTATTCATTTTATGTAATTAATAATTAAAGATTAATTAGTTTTCAAAAACAAATTCTTTAAATATATTTCATTACAACTTCAAATTTTAACTTTAATTTATGCAAAAAAAAAAGCTTTGCAGTTTTATGTTTTTAAATTATAGATAAAATTAGACAATTTTTAATTTTAAATTGTAGTAAAATCAAATAAGTTTTTTTGTTATCGAAAAATTTACATTTTTAAATTATAAAGAAAACCAGTTAGTCTTGTTTCTTCAAATGATGGATAAAGAG